AAATTGAGTAATTAATTTTGGCGCATCATACATTGATGTAGAAATAATATATAGGGTCAGCCCGAGTCATGCTCTATCAAAGATTTTTCTACAAGTTTCTAGTAATTTTCATTCAATATATCATATAACAAGCTTGTAGGGTTTGCACATGCACTTCTATAGACAATATACTTTGTTAAAATTGAATTTGAGAAGGATTTATGGTTAAATTAACACTACAAGAAAAATGACCTTTTGCAACATGCAAAAGGCAACATTCATTACTTGAATGTTGCTAAAGAGGTTTATAGCAACGTTCTCATAAGTGAATGTTGCCATTGGTGTTAAAAATTGAGTTTTGGCAACAGTTTTTAAATGCATGTTGCGAAAAGTCACTTTTGGCAACGTTCAGCGAACGTTGTCGAAAAAACATTATAGCAACGTTCATTGAACGTTGCTAAAAGTGACTTCTCGCAACGTTAAGACGACGTTGCGAAAGTCACTTTTAGCAACGTTCAATGATCGTTGCGAAATGTCACTTTTCGCAACGTGCACTTGAACGTTGCGAAAAGTGACTTTTTTGCAACTTACGTAGAGAACGTTGCTAAAAGTCTCTTTCTGCAACACACCATGAACGTTGTTAAAAAGATCCCACACAACAAAAGAATAACTCACAACTCCTCAAAATAAAATCATTAGCCCTAATTTTTCCATCTCTCGTCTCCACCTCCATCTTCTCTCGTGTCTGCCCTTCCATTTACTTTCATCTTTCCCATTGGCGAGCTCGGTGGTGCAAGAGGTCACTGGGCATCGCGTCCAGGACGTCGACCAAGCAATCGTTGACTTTGTCATCAACATCTTCGTCGACGAGGACTTCGATTTCGGTGGAGGGAGCCTTTGAAGCTCTAGGCGAACTCCTTTTCGACTCTCGTTTAAGATTTTTCCATCTTTTAATATATGTATTCTGTGTTTTGAATCTCAATTTGTTTATGATTGTTAATGGACAGATGGATGAGCCTGTGGTGGAAGATGTGAGGGAGGATGAGGAACACGAAGATGACGTTGAGGACTCCGATGATGAAGACGATAACAAGGAAGGTGGTATCGCAGGTAATTTTTCTTCTCTATTTTTTTTTTTTATTGATTATTGTTATTTTTTTACTATGAATATTGTATTTAGTTCTTAAATGTTTACTGCTTTAATGTTTAATTTTTTGACATTGAATATGCTTCTGGTTGATGTATAAGTATCTGGAATTTGTAATGGCCCGGAAATTTTTTTGGTTTTTAAGCAGGTTATTATTATTTTTATTATTATTATTTACCACAACCTAATCAAAAATGGAAGCAAAATAGTGAAGTGGGTTGTCTACAGGTTATTATTATTATTATTATTATTATTATTATTATCATTATCATTTACCACAACCTGTAAAGAAATTAAAACTTTTTTCACCTTTTTGTTCTCCTAGAAATAATTTATGCAAGGCAATAAACAAAAAATTTAAAGAGTTCAAATCAAAGTTCCTCTTCAAATTAAAGTTCCTCTGTTCCAGAATCATTAAGTTGGAGATTTCTTTCATTTAAGGCATTGAAAGATCAATCAGAAAGAATGAAAAAACTGATCCCAGCATAAGAAATTAATTGAAACAAATCACTACCATCAGCACAGAAAGATAGATTAAGAAGAGAGATTATATTTGTTTCAAGAGATGAGACTGATACATTGAAGATCAGAAACGAACCTTAACACCCCACCACCCTAAACCCACCCAACCAACAAAAAAATATAGATATGAAACATTACATTTAGAAAAGATAACCCCTTGCCCTTGGTGGATCCAAACTACCTATTTTTCTATGTAATAACAGAAACTGCAAATTACTAGTTTTTACTCCAAAATGGTGATGCACAAAAAGGAGTCACAGGTGGGGAATTTTGATCATTTCTTGCTAGATTAGGAAGCCTTGGAATTGGAGGAGCCACTGACATGTTAAGATCAGGGATGGAATTTGGGCCATGAGACTGTGACAGCCTCTGCTTCAGCTCATTTAACAGTGCTTGATTCTCCTGGTTCAATAGTTAGCAGTTCTCCAAGTACAGCTTTGAGTTTAGCCTCTCCATTTCGGTCAAACATTTACAAAAATGTAAGCAAATTACTACATACCTTTTGGTATAAAGACAAGAATTAAGTGTACAAAGAAACCCATAAAAAGAAAGAGAAAAGAAGAAAGAATACCTCTTGGAAGGTTGGTTAGAAAAGAAGGAGAAGAAGAAGAAGATTTTTTGAGAAAAATGAAAAAGTGAGAGACAAGGTGAAAGGGTAGGTGAATAATGTAGTAAGTTAATGCAGGTAAACTTCACAATGATATTGGATTTATAAAGTGTGGTTGCCCCCTCTCTTTTTGCCAATGATTTCACTGTTTGCATAAAAATCAACATTACCTTTTTTATGCTTCCAGTATATTTTTCTGTTTCCTCTTCGTTACTGTTTGTGCATATATAATTGGAGAAAAGAGTAAATTTTATCAGTGGTCACTGAATTTTCAGCTCAATCTCAACTGAGTCACTGAATTTTAAGTAAAGTTTCATTCTGGGAATTCCTGCTGATGCTAATCTAGGCTGGGAGGATTATTTTCTTTGAGTTGGGTTGGTCATCGAGAAATGGAACCTGTATCTTGGCGGGGCAAACCTTGGTGGCGTTGCAAGGAGGGAGATTGATCACATTCTCTCTTCCTTGCAATTTGGAAAAAATCCCAAACTCAAGAATGAGAAGATTCAAGGATTGTTAGGATCATGCTCATATCGACTAAGCAAATCCTTCAACCAATTTTGGTTAATTTTTATTTCAAATGTTTGTGCAAGCTCTTCAATGCGTGTGTTTAGTATCAATGTAACGTGTCTAATACAAATGGGTTGTACTTCTAACTCTTCCTCTTCTGTTTTTCCTTCTTTTATCAAACACTTTCTTTTCATTTAATTACTATAAGAGTATTGGCGTATTGCATAGTTAAGAAATTTGGTTTGGTTTATTCTGATAATTAAGAATGAGTATTTGGTTTGGCTTCATTTCTGGCTCTTATAAATATTTGGTTTGGTTTCTTCTAATAATTAAGAATGAGTATTGGCATATTGCATATGTGTGATGTTGTTTTACTCTTGAGCACATCTAATTTTATTTAATGTTATGCAATGTAGGTTGGTTTGAAGATGCAGTCCTTGCTTGTCAGTGTGGTGACATAGTCGTGCATTGAAGCCTTCTATCTCCATATGTTGGGTTTATGGATAATTTCTTATTGTAGTGGATGTATAATTCAAGTGTACTCATTTATCAAAAGAAATTTCTTATTTAATGTTGTATCACATTTAATGTTTTAGTGTATGATTCAAAAATTTGTAATGAAATTATTAATTTTATGCAATTTCAAAATTTGTTCATTAGGGTTTATCTTCAATTTTGCTACAGTCAATATTTAGAAATTAATGTTTGAGAAAGAGAAAATAAAAACCAAAAAAAAAATAAATAAATTTGGAAAAGTGTAACGGCAACGTGCATTGCATGTTGCGAAAGAAGCCTTTCGCAACGTGCAATGCACGTTGCGAAAAGAAGCCTTTCGCAACGTGCATTGCGCGTTGCTATTATCGACTTTTGGCAACGCGCAATGAACGTTGCGAAAGAAACCTTTCGCAACGTGCAATGCACGTTGCCAAAAGTCTTCCGCAGCGTGCAATGCACGTTGCCGTTACTTTGGCCTCTACGGCAACGTCGCATCCCACAACATACGCGCGAACGTTGCTAAAGGGTTTTGGCAACGTTTTTTGACCGTTGCAAAAGGTGATTTCTGGTGTAGTGTAAGTTGGCTTTATGGGTAGTTTTGCTTCAAAAGACCCTAATGAAATCATATTGATTCACAAGAAACGCGATATGTGATGAAAATAGTACAACTATTTCGGCAAAAAGTTTTTCTATATCAAATTTACAATTTAGACTATTTTTCAGAATCAAAATTCAGATTGAGGGATTCAATTTCTTCTAAGTTGAACAACTTTACAATTAAATGGTGGCCTGATAAGGATTATGGCCTTTATGGTTGCTTCAAATAATTTTCTCAAAGGATAAACTTCAGCACAAACCATACTTCCAGTTGTTTAAGCAAAAGTATGTACTAATTAAATAGGAAGGACTAATTAAAGGAGTAATTATTGTACTATCAGCAGCCTAATAAGTGGGGGAAAATGGACAGCCGCCCACAAGATTTGAGTAAATTTTTGTAAGAACATAGAACGTATCATGTCTCAACTTTGTCAGCACTTAGCAGTATTAAATGCTATTTTTGCATTAAAGTTCTAAATAAAGTAGACGTGAAATAGAACTATTTTTTATAATCTTTATAGCTTCCAATTTACCAAGAATAGTAACGTAGCAAAGTTCTAAATCAATTTATTTAAAAGCATAAATAAAATATTGAGAAATGTTATATTTATCTTCTGAATACATAAAAACAATAAGAAATTAAATATTAATTTAGATAATATTCTACTAGTTTTAACAAATGTACTTTAATTTTATTTTTATTCTTTTCAAAAACAAACACGCAAGTATTTGACATGTATAAAAAATTGTTTATTAATTAGAAATGAAAATAATATGATAAGAGATATTTAGAAGTGGGATATGGCACCATGTACGATCAAATTCTCTAGTGACTTCAGAAAATTAGGTTTTTGTACATGGACCCAAATAATTAAATTAAAAATTAAAAACCAATTGGAATTGGATGGTTGATCCTTTCTTTAGGGGCTCTTTTGGTGACCAAGAGATGAAGAAAATGATGTGGATGGCACTACTTTTATGGCCACTTGCACTTAAATATAACAAATAAAGTATATAATCTCTACAAAAATAGTGAATACTTGTATTGGAGTAAGTCTTTCTCTAAAAGCACGCTATTATTTAAAGAATTATGTTAAATGTACACAACCGTGTACCTAAGGGTGTGCCTAATGTACACCTGGCGCCTCAGCCAATAGGTGTACCTAATGTACACCTGGCGCCTCGGTATTGGCTGAGGTGCCTGTGGGCCTCGACATTGGTCGAGGCGTCGAGTGTCCATTAGGTACACACTTAGATACACGGTTGTGTACCACTAGCAAAATTGTTATTTAAATTATAACAATTTAATTCTCTTACAACAAGTTATTAATATTAAATTAACTATTAATTGTCCAACTATAACGAGGCAGGCGTGTCTAACTAGTTATGGTTTAAAAAAATGAATAATTATATTAACTAGTCAAGTTTTCAACGTGGGAATTATTCCCTTACTTTGAATAAAGACACTAATAATATGTATCATAAAGGCACTTCAAGGCTTATTTCAAATCAGCCAAACATGATTTTAGCTTATAATGATTCAACACTAGTCTCCTCATGTAGAGAATCATTAATTAAATCTCTTAATTAAGAGTCGAGAACTGATTTCTTAGTTGTGTGACACCTCAAAATATGTCAACGCATTTTTTATGTTTTCATTTGCTAAAAAAAGATATGATAAATCAACTTCCTTTGGACAAATCCTGTTTGTTTTAAGCATGCTCTTATATTATCCACCCACTGAAAGAAAATTCTCGAGTATCAACTTCATCACGGGACATCTTACTCTAATACCAACAAATATAGAATATTGTCATCACTTCATAAAAGCTATAGCTAATGGAGTAGGTACTCAGAATCAAGCGTAGGAATCCAATTCAAGCCCTCTACTTAGGCTACCTCATTTCAAACGTACTTTTGCATTACTACCAAAATTAATAAGTTCAAGATTACAAAGGCAATTAAGAGTCGAGAACTGATTTCTTAGTTGTGTGACACCTCAAAATATGTCAACGCATTTTTTATGTTTTCATTTGCTAAAAAGATATGATAAATCAACTTCCTTTGGACAAATCCTGTTTGTTTTAAGCATGCTCTTATATTATCCACCCACTGAAAGAAAATTCTCGAGTATCAACTTCATCACGGGACATCTTACTCTAATACCATTTGATATAGAATATTGTCATCACTTTATAAAAGCTATAGCTAATGGAGTAGGTACTCAGAATCAAGCGTAGGAATCCAATTCAAGCCCTCTACTTAGGCTACCTCATTTCAAACGTACTTTTGCATTACTACCAAAATTAATAAGTTCAAGATTACAAAGGGAAAAAGGATTCAAGCAAGACAAATTCGAACTTGCCAGTCCTTGAGATACAAGATACACAAGCTTCTTATGCTATCAATATTCTTTTTTTTATTTAATACGGAGCCATCATTTTTTTTTTTAAACAATGACACTTTAAATCTTCTCGACCAAATATATTATCCATCATGATAACATATTAAAATGCTGGATAATACCATGTCCTTCATCCCCTCATTGAAAATGTAGTGGCAATAACTATGAATGAAAATGACTTTATTCGTTTTTGATGGCACAATATACATGCACTAGCTATTGGTGGTGGTAGGGTAGATTAATAATTTTCTTATATGATGAGAGATCCCAATTGATTGAGCGTGGAAATCATTAAAATAATGAAACAAAAATGTGGGATCAAAAGTTTAAGATCACTAATTTGATTAATCATTGTTTTAAGTTTTTGTTAGTGATCTTTGAATACTAGTTATAGCAATAGGTGGAGAGTGGTCCATGGCCACCAAAGGATTTTGCTGGCTAATGTACTAATTATAGCAATTTTGAATCATTGCTTGAGATTCAGATTATTTTCGAATAAGTTATCTATATTCAATTCAGTACAATAGACATGGGTTTTTTTTTTTTTTTTTTTTTTTTTTTTTTTTGGGGGTGAGTATAGAGCATGTTGGGTTAAATTTGAAAGAAAGTAGAGTTATTGTTTGAATCTAAACATATAAAAATTTACTTTTTTCTTTTTTTTGAATGTATAAGATTATTTTTGTTATAGTATCTCGTGCCTTATTGTGAAATTGAGTAACTAAATTATTTTAATCTCTCACCGTGGTCCCCTTGATGCTGATTAATTAGGGTTAATGGAATGTTGACAAAAGAAAAGTTTAATAATAAGACTTTTAATAAAAATGAAAATCCCCAGACCATGAGGATGAGGGGGTGATTATTATCCATGCTTTCTTATTGTTAGTTTTATTGACAATTGCTTCCATTTTTTCCTACTTGAGTTATTCTATTTAAAAACTTAATAACATGTTATTTTTTATTTATTATGATTATTGAATAAAACTTAAAGAGTTTCTCACCTTCTTGTTGAAATTTAAGTATTCATGCCAATAACTAGAGAATTTTTTATGTCTAAATTCTAAGTTATGTCTAGAATCAATAAATATTTGGATCCATATCGTGTTTTCTTTGCTTCTGATTACATCACAATCTATTCCACTCGCCTTCACAGTCAATGCATGGAGAAAATTCCTAGTACTCTTCGAAGTAAGAAAAAATCAGTGTTCGCCACTACTACTTAATCGACATGTGTATTACAATGGAGAAACCTAACCATATATAGAAATGAAATATTGCATGTAAAAATAAGAAATTAAAATTCTATAATGGATAATTCATTATTCCATTCAATAAACAGTTGTATTTTACTACTACAACCAAACAATCATAGTTATAGATGGGCCTAAAACTCACGAGTCTCATTATAGGCCCATTACGTTTAAGATGAAACAAGTCCAACCCGTTAATCCCAGTCGGGCCGACTCCAGCCCAGCTTAAACCAACTGAGGAAACAATTTGCGCCAAAGAAACCCCAAAATCATAGATGGGTTAAATAAAATATTTGTGCAGTGTGTGTGCAGGATGAAGATAGGTGACTAAAACATGGGAGAATCTTGCTTGAGCTTTAATTAAGGAAACAAGAGAATAATGAAAATAGGGTAATTATGTTCCCCCACAATTATTGTCATCGGTATTACATTTTAATTGAAATGAAAGGTGCGAATAATAGGTTAGTCTAACTTAGTGTATATTTTGTTTGCATGTATAAAACTACACAAGGCAAATAAGTCTTTTTCCTCTATTTTATGGGTTTTTTCTTTGGCCATCGTTCGGAACAAGATGTGTAAATAAATAAGATTGAGATTAAGCCCCAGTTTGTTTCACTTTATTTTACTTTAATTTGTTTCTCATACTCATTTTCAATCACGCATTCACACAATAAAAAGTGACCAAAAAATGTTGGGGACGGAAGTGTGAAAATGAGTAGAAGTTAAAATACTTCATTGTACTTATAACACGATGTAACTAACAAAAATTGTAGTGTAAATATATTAACCTATGAAAATAATATGCTTACTTTAGACGATAAGTTTGGTTTGACTTAAAAGTTTCGTTTCTTTGTTGATTTGAGTAGGTTCTCGATTCTCCCACGCTACATAACGTCGAACATTGGATTCTTGGTGATCTCATTTCCCCATATTTCTTTTCCCTCTTGCATCAGTTTTGCATGAGATGATGAGCTCACCAAAATTTTAAAAATAAAAATAAAAATAAATAAATCTCTTTTATTGTCACTCGATAGTTGCAAGCTACCTGTCCAACAAACCATTTATAGTATATCTCATGATTTTCTATTTTATACTAAAAAGATAATTATTTTACCTAGAAGTTACATGTATCTACTCACAGCTTTAGATGCCAAACAACACGTATGCATTAAGTTTAAGTGTGACAATTAGTGTTACATGTATATGCTGATAACTTTACATGTACACTTCGCAAAATGCAATTAATTTTATTTTTTTTTCATTTTCAACTAAAAAGTTAATTTTTCAATACTTGAATTTATGGTATTTTTGGATAAATATACAATGTCAATCTTCTGTCAAGTTTAATATATACATTAAAGACAATTTAATAATACATGATACAATTAGATAATATAAGTCAAATGTAAAATGTAGTGTATTGACGTTACATGTAGATACCCATAGCTTTTAGGTGTCAAATGATACGTATACATCAAGCATAAATGTAACATATTAGCGTTAGATGTACCTATTCACAACTTTACGTGTACAATTAATTTTCTTTTCCAATTTCAACTGAATAGTTTAGTTTGACTTGAAAAAAAAAAATTCATTTCTATATCAGTTTAAATGTGTAGGTTTCCAATTCTCCCATGGTACATACGACTGAACTTTCTTTCCCATGTTTATTTTTCCTTTCGTATCGATTTTGCATGAGATGATGAGCTCAAAAAGAAAACATCTTTTATCGGTGCTCAATAGTTGCACACTACATGCCCAACTAGCCATTCAAAGTATATCTTGTGCCTTTCCATTTTCAATTGAAAAGTTCATTATTGACCATAGAATTTATGATATTTTCATCTATCAATAGGTCGATCTTTTGTTAATTTTAACAAAAGCAAATAAATAATATATAACATAATTAGATATCACATAACACGTAAACATCAAGTGTAATGTAACGTATTAGCATTGCATGTATTGATCAATATACAAAGGTCGATCTTTTGTCAATTTTGAAATATATAATTAAGATAAATAAATAATATATAACACAATCAAATATCAAATGACACATATACATCAGGTGTAAGTGTAACGTATTATCGTTATATCTATCGACTCACAACTTTACATATATACTTTGCAAAATGCAATTAATTTTCTTTTCCATTTTCAACTGAAAAAATTAAGGTTACATTGGCTTCACTTTTGCAAAACACCCAAATTCGTTTGGTATGGTCTTTTCAAAAATGTTTTTTTTTTATTACAAAATTAAATTTATATTTTAATACCATTTTTGAGATTTTGACTTTATTCAAGGAAATCGTTGAAAACTAAAACAAAAATATAGATACTAAAAAATTTCTAATTTTAACAAATAAATAATAAAAAATTTAAAAGGATAAAATCTATAAAAAAAATGTAATTTTCTAAAAAAAAATTCTAGAAAATTTAAAAAAATGTAAAATTAGATCATTCTCTTAATAGTATTTACATAAATAAAAATTTAAAATATATTTAAATGAATATAGATAAACATCTCAATCTATGTCATTAATTTTTGTCCTTTATTTTCTATATTTAGCCAACTCAACTTATTTATTTATTTTTAAATTTTTTGAAATATTATTTAATTCCAAAATTTTAAAAACTAAAATACTAAAAAAAAATCAAATATAAAAATTTTTAAATTCTAAAAAATTAAAAAGAATTAATTTTTTTTAGAATTCAATATTTTCATTTTTATAATATTTAGTTTTTAAAATTTTATTTAAATGCTTGTTTTCTTTGTTTTGAGTATTTTTAGAATTTTACTGAAAATACTTGAACAAGTTTTATATTATAAGTTTATTACTTTTTAGAATGTTTTTTAAAAAATTCTAGACCAAACAAGTCTTTGTTTTTTTTTTTTTTTAAAAAAAAACTAAAGACTGAAAATAGTTTAAAAACAACAAATCAAATGCACACTTAGCTCATATTTGAGCCATATTTTTTCAAGAATACATTTTTTCAAATCTCATTTTCAATCATATATTTTTTTCATAAAATAATTATATGCGTATTTCAAAAACTTTTCTTTACTTTTTAACCACATTTTTCAAAAAATCATTATTTCAAAATGCATTTTTTTTTTTTAAAATGGGGATCAAACATAGGCTTAATTTTTTGGCTTTAAAAATTATGATATTTTTCATCTCTTTTTTTTCCCTTTTTCTTTCTCATTTTTATATTACATTACATACCCTCCCCTCTCTCTCTCTCTCTCTCACTGTGAAAAATTGGAGCCCATGTAAGTAGTCTTTCCCGTCTTTAACAATGTCCGTGCCTGTTACTTTTCTTGCTACATTTGTCTTAAACAAAACAAAACCCAAACTATTTCTGAGTTCAGATTTCTTGTAACTTGCCCGCAAAGCCTCTGTACTATGCTCCTATTTTTATATCTTATTCAATTTGCATGCTACAAATCACCAAAAGAGGCGCACACAAACACCATTGGCACACTGTAGCTAATCACCTATACACATATCTGTATGTATCTGCATGTTCTTTATGTTTAGCACTTATTCATGATCTCTATATGTCTATGGTGTTCAATCTTGCTCTATCCAAAATGGGTTTGAGTTATATTTGAATTCTAACAAAGTTCTTTTCTTTTTCTGTTTGCTTTGAAGTTAGTGGGGTTTCTGGGTTAAAAATTCGATTGGGTTTTTTTCTGCACTGATGGCACCGTTGAGAGGAAATAAAAAGAAAAGGAAAGTCGAGAAGAAGGATGAAGAAAATTCTTTGGTTTCTGGGTCTTCTGAAGAGGGCTCTGTTAATTGGTGGAATGATCTATCAAAGAAAATTGCTGGTAAATTAAATTCTTCATCAGTTTACTTTTATGTTAAAAATCTTATATTTTGTGATATATTGGATTTTTTGTTGTTCTGTTGATCATACAATTGGAGATTTTTAAACATCTATTCCTGATTGACTTTAGACTTTTTGTGTTAGTTTAACTTAATTTGGCTGCCATTACATTGAATTTACATGTTTTGTGTTCTGTGATTGTGTATGAATGTGTTATAGTAGATCCCTATTTTGTTTTGATTTTTCGACTTTTAAGTTATCATTTTGATTAACATTTTGTTTCATTAATTAACCAGATGTTTTAAGAAATTGTGCAAGTTTTTTACATTGAATTATATGGTTGTGTTTTGTGAATGTGGTAAAGTGGATCACTATTTTGCTTTGAATTTCAACCTTTGAGTTATCCTTTCTATTGACATTTTGGTTTCATTAATTTACAAATGATTGAAGAAATAATGTGAGTTTAGTTACATTGAATTAACATGTTCGTGCTTTGTGAATGTGTATGAATATGTAAAAGTGAATCTCCATTTTACTTTGATATCAACTAGATTCATCCACTTGATTAACATTTAGTTTACCAAATGGTTCGAGAAATAATGTGAGTTTGTTGTAATTTATCATATTTGGATGGAAAATCTGCATCATCGGGCAGATATATCTCCACCATCATGCCATCTTTGTGCAGATTAGCACTCTTTGATCCCTTTTATTAAGAATGGTAAATAAATTGTTGCTGTTTCAAGAAATAGTTTCAATTCCATTTTCATTGAAACGGAGAACATTGTGTTCAATGATGATAACATCATGTCTCTTTGGATGTTAGTTATTTATTTATTTTTCTGTGGCTACAACAAAGTATATCAACTGTTCTGGTAAAAGCAATCATTATCAACTATCTCATAGTTTAATTTATGTGCAACTGTTAGGGAAGACAAACTTGTTCCTCTTTCTAGTTCTAACACCTGGAATCCTCTTAGTTTTTCCTAATGTTTAGGATAATGTACTGATTTTCATTGTTAGGACGGTAATTAATTGATGACTATGGGTTCTTGTGCAAATATGAGCTTATTTTCATCGTGTAAAATGGTATTAGTGGTATTTGAGGCTTTGAAAGGAGTGTGTAATTGAATTGAATGAGTGGGAGCAATGTTTGAAGAATCTTGTGTTACTGAAATAAGGCGGCTAGCTATATTTCTTCTAATGCTGAGGTTTTGGCCTTTTCAGCAAACGAAGTATCTTGTAGGGGTTTTAGATTGTTTCAAAATTTCTGCTGATTTTGATTTTGTTCACTGTGGCGACTTAGGATTTTTCATAATTTTACTTTAGGTTTTGCATAATGAGGTCTGTGGAGGACAAAGAAAACAGAAAATTCATTGTCCTGTTATGGCTGATATGTACCTTTACATGGCCATGAGATATATTCAGCTGTTGGAAACTACTAAATCTATGAATCAATATTACCTCTCTCCCTGCAACATATTTTGGCCATAGAGGAGGAAAATTACCGATATAGAATGTTTGCATAGGTATATTTTCAGATAACCAACCGGTAGTTAGGCTAGGTAACCTTGGTTGGTTTTCCAATCCTTCATTTGCAAATATTAGGAATTAAATCTTAGCATCTCCCTCCTCTTGTAGTATTATTTAGAAAAAATAGTGGCTAAGGATACATTCTAAATCTTCCAGCAGGCTTAATGAAATTTTTCTGCAAAAAAAAAGAAAGAAAGAAAGAAAATTATAGAAAGAAAAAGATGAAAAATCAATGGAGCTGCTCAAGATTTCATGGAATTATTCTTCTGCTCATATTTTGAAAATTCTAAAATTTCATATCCTGTTATTAATAGATGATTTTGGTAAGAATAATGGATATGCTGCGTCTTTGAGATTAAAGGAGCTGCATGCTGTTGATTGAGCTTTATTGTCGAGTCTCTTACTTGTAGAAGACAAACATATGTGTACAAAACTCCATTTCTTGCTTCTAACATAAAGTCAGTGCTTCTAAAAATTTTATGGCACATGGAATGTGTTAAATAGGTTCTGTTTCCAATATATATAGACACCAAATCACAGAGAGTGATCTGAAAGGATGCACATTAATATTCAGAAGTCGTGAGCTTAAATTTTTCATCCATTAGGGATTGTTAAGAGTTAACTGAGGTAGTTTATAGTGACAGAGAGTAGGAAATATGTGTAGCGTGTAAATACTATGACTAATGAATACAATAAGTTCGTGTTTCATTAGCAGTATGGATAGGTTTTGGATGGTATAGAATATTTTAATTTATTTCTTCGTCCTTAATATTGCTCACTAAGACATTACAAAGTACCAAATGAGTCACAAGAGGTTTCTTCACGACCTCGCAACTAAAACCAAATATCAGAATATTGTCATTAGTCTGAGTATCACGTGAAATGGAGAAGAGTATCAAGAGACGGATTTTCAGTCCTATTCATTGTCCTTGTTCCATGATCCAGGATGTATTCTGTTAGATTCATAACCTAAAAAAGAGAATTGATGAATTGACTTCATTTACCGAATTGATTTTGGTTTTGATTTAGCTGCTTCTTTCTTTGCCATGGGTTTCCATTATTTGTAGCTCGTTATTCTGTCTTTACAGTCATCTAATAGCTTATCTTTATATATAATTTAAAATTTCTAAGGACAGCGATACTTTTTTCGCTATTTTTTTGGGGATCCTGCTGAAATTGTTTTGTCTCAGAAATCATGAAAGATGATTATAACTGAAGCTTAAACAGGGCCCAAAGTTATGAACTAGCATATCAAGCACATTAGAGAATAGCAAGTGCACGTGATATAGCTACATATCCTTAAGTGCAGGTTCTTATTTTGCTTGAGATTTATTGGAAAAAGTACGCCATTCAGGGAGTTTCAAAGTCTATCGTGAATAGATAAATTGTTTCATTTTTTTCATTATGAATGATTTCAAAGAATTTTCGCTTTGTATATGTTTCTGTACTGTGTGATTTAGAAGATTAAAAAAGTTTCTGTACCATGTGAACCCCCCATCCCCACCCAATCTAGCATTGTAATCCATGAGTTTATTGGTTCTTAAAATATATGGTATCAGAATTGAACTAAAAAAAATGATTGTTCGAACAAACAAAAAGTTTCCGTACCACGTTAACCCCTTGCCTTAAATATTTTGTGCTCAGTAGTTAGAAAGAGTAGGTTGACTATTATGAACATAAACAAAACTGAATGAACGAATTAGGACGGAACTTATTGATTTACAGGATACAACAAAATTGTATGAGTACTTCCCGTGATTGATTCCAAATCTGGAATTCTAGAGTTTTGTCCTTTGCATATTTACATTTTTGAGTTTTCAAATAAGATGGGAAAACGATGACTCCTACTTCCAATGCAGGCAAAAAAGCTGGGCATAAATTGTTGTTTGGCATCTTCTCATGTTTATTCTTCACTAACATATCAATTATTTTAAGTATTTGTTACTTTCAGTAATTGACAAAGCAAATATTAAATGAAACCCTGTATGCTAATTCATCATCCCATATAACTAGATGGCCAACTCTTTCTCCATAAATAGATCCATCGAAAATGATAATTTTACAAGATAAACATATGGAAAACGTTATTTTAAATGCATACAGCAAATATCCTGGAAAAAACAGGTTTTTATTTTTCAAATAATTCCTGAGCTTTCATATCAATTTGATTCACCTCCGTAGTCAAGATTCAGTGAAACTGGATGAAGTAAAAGACTTCTTCCTTCCTAGTTAAGCAACCTTCTTTCTGATTTATAGTTTTTTCTTTTCTTTATGACATTAGGTGATATAAGTAAAGTTAACAGGATAATGAAAATAAACAATCTGTGCATGCATAATCCATATGTTGGAATGGAAGCCTGACAGGAGATGAATTTCCTCGGGTTATTCTGGTTCATGGATTCAAGAATGGAAAGTTAAGCATCCAGATGGTCACCCAATGTTTTGTTTGTGAACCAAGAGCACGAAGCATTAGTATAACTTAATTGTCCTACTCTGGATTTATCTTGAATTTGAAAAACTGCTGATCAGTTATCTTTCTCATTGTGACTTTTAGTGTGTTGCTTATTTTTGCAACTTGCATTTTAGCTTCGACATTCATAGGTTCCCCTTCTCTTTCTTGTGCTTATTTGACTGTTTTTCTTATCGGCATTTCACACTATTTTAAGAAATCTATTTTACTTGTCACGTAGAATATTTTACCTTTCCTGGAATTTTGTGATCCAAGTTCCATTTACTGTTTATTGATGAAGACGTGAGATCAGTTTACTTCTTTCCCTCTGCAGGTGAACCATCTCAGTTAAAGGGATTGGACAAGTTCGAATCCACTTTCAAAATGTCGAGAAACACGTTCGACTACATATGTTCCCTAGTGAAAGATCACATGATGGTCAAAACACATTTTTCTTTTTCAAATGGAAAGCCATTGTCATTACATGACCAGGTAGCTTTAGCTTTGAGAAGGCTATCTTCGGGAAATTCATTAATCTCAGTCGGTGAGTCATTTGGGGTGCACCATTCAACCGTCTCTCAAGTGACCTGGCGTTTTATCGAGGCCATTGAAGAAAACGGACTTCACCACCTCCGCTGGCCTTCCACTGAACGTGAGATAACTGAGATTCAGAACAAGTTTGAAAAAATTCGAGGCCTTCCAAATTGTTGTGGCGTGATTGATACCACACACATAAAAATGATGTTAACATCGTCTGATCAAGGAGCCGAAATGTGGCTTGATCGCAAGGAGAATCACAGTATGATCCTGCAGGTGATTGTGGATTCTGATTTGAGGTTCCGGGACATAGTCACTGGATGGCCGGGAAAGATGAACGAATACTCGGTTCTCCAGAGTTCCAGTTTCTTCAAACTATGTCAGGAAGGAGAGAGATTGAACGGGAAGAAAATAACTTTGTCAGAACTAACAGAAGTTGGGGAATATATAATAGGTGATACAGGATTTCCATTGCTGCCTTGGCTCTTGACTCCTTACCAAGGTAAAGAACTTTCAGAATCCAAAGTCGAGTTCAATAAGAGGCTCTCCACGACTCACACTGTTGCAAAGAGGGCATTGGCAAGGCTGAAGGAAGGATGGAAAATGATTCAAGGAGATATGTGGAGACCTGACAAGCACAAGTTACCAAGGTTTATTTTCGTATGCTGCATTCTCCACAATATTGTTATAGACATGGAAGATGAGGTTTCAGACGAAGTGCCTTCATCTCACCACCACGATCCAGGATATAGGAACGAGGTTTGTGAATTCGTCGACGAGTCTGCTTCGAGTTTTAGGGACAAGCTATGTTTGCATTTATCTGGGAGTCTGCATTCCTAAGTCAATCTTACCTGTGATGGAGTTACTTCCTGGCTTCTACTGAAAGTACAGTTAAATAAAATAGGAGAATCCAAGGAGAAAAAGAAAGTGATTTTTAATTTTCATTCAGGAATTCACCTTTTTTTTTTTTAAAAAAAAAATTAAGTTTCAGAATGTTAAATACTTGATTTTGCAATTGCTACAGAGATCTTGGAGACTATTTTGTATTTTTCAATTTGTCATGTTTCGTTTGAGTATTGCTGTAAGCATATTAGATAAGTCGACCGCCCCACTACAATACCCGGGAAACCTTCCCTTCCTCCTCGGACTCCTGCCCGACTACCCCATCGCAGTAACTTTCCTTTCCTTATTAGCCAATTCCGGGAGTAGGGCCTGCCCCGTATTGTGGCAATCCTTATAAGCCTGCATTATATGATACAGAAACAATATTTCTTTTCCAATATACCTGCTTGACCATTTGGGAGTTATTTGCTGATGCTTCTCTTCCCTAAGAGGGCATTCAGTAATTTATGCAGATAGAAGACGATGAATGTGCTATAAAAGATGTCTGGTTTTTGGGAGATGTTACAAGTTGTATTCTATTGTGGTGACATAACTCGCTTATGTTTACACTACAACTCACATTACAAGGTTGATCTCTCAGTAGATCAAAAGTTCCAGACGGACTCTATTACATCATTGAGTTGCTATTAGTGCAACGGGGTGGAGAGGGGCGTTTTCAAGAATGTACAAAAGACTAGGTAGTAAGTAGTAAATACAGCAGCGAAGCCATTCAAGCATTCTTCCAGTGTTTCAAGACTACATGTCGTCACTTGAACATCAAGCATTCTTCCAGTGTTTCAAGACTACATGTCGTCACTTGAACACGGAGTCGTCGCTGCAAAATGAAAATAACAAAGAGAAAATAAGTATTATTTTGAAGGTTAGACAACAGAGCCTTCAATGGTTTTTCCATAAAACTGGCTGAATTGAATCTATAAAGCAGATCTTCATTGTGATCACATACATGGCGCTATATTTTCTTCTTTGAACGATTCTATGAAAGAAAACTACGTAAAGCAGGATATAGGTCGATATGAAGTTGATGAGAAAATTGTACAACACAATTAGGCTCCAAGATATCCAACAAGAAAACTGATGAATAACATAACAGATTTTTTTAACCTTTATGCAGAGGAATTTGGTGAATCCAGACCTCCGTCATTCATTATTTGCATAAATCTTTTTGTCCATTGCTGCTTAACAGAATCTGGAATAGACATATCAGAGATTATAGGATTCCATGCATCTCCATGCGGACTTGCAAGAACCCAATTGACTTTCATTGGCGGGCCAACAATTGAAGACACTTTCATATCTCCAAAAATGTTTTCCGTTCTCGGAATAGAGTTCTAAAACGGACAAAAGCCTCGAAAATCAGAGACATTCTATAACAAGAGAAAGAAAACACAACACAAGTTCAATCTTTAGTTGAAATATGGTAGATTTAAGCATACCTCTATGTGATTGTCCAGTTGAAAAACTTTCGACATGAGTTTATTTTCCTTTATTTCTGCAAGAGCCTTTGATAAGAGGACATCATCTCCTTCCAATTCTGCCAGGTATCTCTCAACCGAAACCAGGGACCGAAACTTCCGCCCAGTCTCAGGTTCGTAGTAGTACTGCGACAAAAATAAAGAGTGATCTTTTTATGAACTGATGTACGACTAGGAATGGAAAAACACGTAGAGGTATAGGGTTCATAGCCATTAGCATATAGCCTCATAATTTTTTCTTTCAACTTTTTGTTCTGCTTTAAATGATTTCTGTGAGTGAGTTTATAGGAATAATTTGGATTTCGATAAACCAACCCAACCAGTCAGTTACAAGCAGCAAACAATAATGAAGAAATGAAAATTATACAATTTTATATTTTGAATTTTCATTTTATAGGGCTCTAGGGCTATACAAACTCAAACCGTAGACCTTCTCAGTAAAACAGATCAAATTAATTATTATCAAAAGGTAAAAGCAAGGAAAACCAAGATTAATACTATACTCTCATTTCTAACCAAGTGTTCGGATAAAATTTTAATGTCATAGAAATGAGCGATAGATAAGTGGATAGTAATTGTGATACTACAAATTGTATGGTTAAATTCAATGTTTAACTTTGAAAAGTAAATTATAAGTTACTTTAATTGTTATCCAAACATAAGCTAATACTCCAAAACACTATTTTTTAAACTCTAACTTCAGTTAATATCACTACTGAACTGTGCAGGCATGCCAGCCTTCAAAATTCTTAATTTCTGCGTGTAAAGAGGCAATTGGAAATGTAAATAGAATGTAAACTGTTCCACTTCAGAAAATATATTGAAATCACGAGGTTCATAAACTGAGTAATTGATAGAAAGAACATAACCTTATCAATCGTTCCATCATATTTACGGGGTACTTTCTCCACAATCCACCCATCAGGAAGCTTAAAGTATGGGGAGGCTTTAGCGCTTCTGGAAACCATCATTGCCAATTGATTTCGATCTATTTCTTTACCTAGTTTCAACATCTGCATGGGCACTTTTTTGCAATGAAGAGAAATGTGTTTCATTTTAAGGTTGTTCCAAGATAAAATTGCCTTTCCTAGGACGTCAACAACATCCCTTTTTTTTTTTTTTTTTTTTTTTTTTTAAGGTACAACAGACCACAAATGGACAGCGATACTTTTAAGTACGTTAAAATCTCAGTCTAAACTACCTCAGCCCATCAAACAGGTTTTTTTCGATGAGTTCATTTATATCTATTTAACAAGAAATTCTGCCAACTAAACTTATCTGTCTATTTATTCTCTGTACATGATCACATAATAGCTCGCGTAAATTCTTAGTAACTTTGAACTAGATGCTGTTAACTTTGTCCCCAAATCTTGATGAAATGCAAACAAAGAACAGAAACTTATAGCTCATTATTCATATACAAATCGACACAAGAGCTCAAACTAATTCCTCTTCCTCATTCTAGCCGCTGAAATAGGCCTTGATATCGCCGAGTAATATTGATTTTTTAGTGCAAAGGAAGACCTTGCTATTTGAAAAACTTTACATATAATCTCTTTTACATTGTCATCATAAAGGACAGTTACAAAAGATAATTTCCTAAGCCTCTATGGATACCAAAACAATGTCACATAATTGTTGGAATAACTGATAAAAGCCCAACATAAAATTATATTCTTTACCTTTCCACCAGAAACAATCATCCTCTGGCACCCAGATTTCTGCAGAAAATTCTTGAAAAATTAATTTAAAAAAACCCAATCAACAAGTAAAAAATTTCTTTTAGTCCGTTAAAAAATTATGATATTAAATTACTAATTTCTCAACATTACACGATTGTGCAGTGTCAATTTCCTCCTGCGCCGAGGATATTCTTCTCCATTCAAGTGTCTCTCAACTTCTTTAGATGACCTGAATTTTCGCCCAGTCCCTGGCTCATAATAATACTGAATAATACAATAAAAACCAATTAAGATTACTCAATTAAATTATATGAAAATCTCATTTTTTTTACAAAAGTATATGCATTCAACCCTGTCAATGTGGGAGCCATTGGGGCGAAGCACCTCTTCAACACCCCAGCCAGGAGGGAGTTTGATCCGAGGAGTGATGTTGATGATGGCGGTTGTGGGTGGCGACGCAAGGGCCAGTTCGGTGTTCTTGGACAACCGATCGCCGCCGTAGGCTGGCCGTAACGGCACCAACATTGAGTTTCGCTCTTCCATGCTTGGCCGATTGAGTGACGTGTCGTTGTAAGAAGCTACTCTTTACGACAACAACTGTGTGTCTGTGTGCGACGTGTCACTCTACGGAGGGAGCGGACAATAGAGTACCATGCTACATTTTTATTATGGTCTTCAATGATGCCTTTTGACTTGAAAAAGAGCAAATCTACTTATAGTTACTAAATTCTTACATTCCAAACATATTTAGGCCCGTTTGATACTCATTTTTTTTTAAATGTATTTTTATCTAATATTTTCAATCACATATTTTTTATTAAAATAATATTACACGTAAATCAAAAAAATTATTTTTCAACCACACATGTCCCATCAATTTTCTATTCAAAAATACATTTTTACAAAAAAAATGTCTCCCAAACACCCTCTTAGATAAATTATTTCATTAGTACTTACAAGAAAACATTAATTTTAATATTAATTACATTCAAATTAAGTTATTTATTTATTTACGGGTCAATGCGAGATATATTTATTGCTAAAGTTATTAATAAACTCAATTTAAATCTTTTAAGCTTATTTTAATATTTGAATAGCTTATACCCCGTTTGGCCCCCGTTTTTTATAATGAAAAGTGGTTGAAAAAGATGAAAAAAAATTTCGATTTACGTGTAATATTATTTTATGGAAGATTGTGGGTTGAAAATAGGAGAGAGAAAAATAGAATGTAATTTAATGGGGATCAAACAGGGGCTTAGTTCTTAATTTTAAGTAAAATAGATTAATTTTTCTTTTCTTTCCCCTTAAAAGTAATGGGTTTTGTCCACCGATCCCCTCACAGTCCATAAAAGAAGAGAAACGCCAGCTTAAGACAGACGAAATGTACTCGAATGTTCAAACATTATGCTCATGTTTAGCGTGGATTAAAATCTTAATAAAATTTAAGTTTAGTAGGTTTTGTCCACCGATCCCCTCACAATCCATAAAAGAAGAGAAACGCCAGCTTAAGACAGACAAAATGTGCTAGAATGTTCAACGTTATGCTCATGTTTAGCATGGATTAAAATCTTTAAAAAATTTAAGTTAAGTAATTAATCTTAATTAGAGATGTCAAGGAGTCGAGTCGAGCCAGCTCGAGAGCCGAAACTCGAGACTCTGGCTCGGTTCGGATAAAATGTGCGAGCTTTTTTTCGAGCCCGAGTCGAGTCGAGCCGAGTTTTTGCTCGACCAAAAAAATTAGGCTCGACTCGAGCTTTTGCTCAGGTCTTTTTGAGCGGGGCAGACTCGCCTTTTTCTTTGCTCTTTCTTTTTATTTTTTATTTTTTTCGTTTAAGATGCCTTTTAAGATAGCATTGTGCTGCTTTTTAAAGCAACCAGCTACAGCTGCATTTTAAAAGGCAGCATTTTGCTGCCTCCAAGTTCTTTTTTACATTTTTTTTTAATGGCCCGCGGGTTGATGCGGGCTCGGCTTAAAAGGTAGCATTTTGCTGTCTCCAAGTTCTTCTTTTTTTTTTTTTTTTTTTTTTTTTTTTTTAGTTGTGATTGAGTTAATTTTGTTTATTAGTTATTTTAGATCTTTTAATATGTCTAGTAATAAATTGGCAGAAAATTGAAAAAGAATCTCTAAGTGGTCGACCCAAAATTCCTCTAGAAAAATGTTTAGACCTTGTGTGAAAAAGAATTATTCGAAAAATTATTTTTATAAGTGGTTTTTTTTTTTTTTTTTTTTTTTTTTTTTTTTTTTTTTTTTTTTTTTTTTTTTTTTTTTTTTTTTTTTTTTTTTTAGAATGGCTCACGAGCCGATGCGGGTTGGGCCCGTCTATCCAAATTAGGGCTTGGCCAAAGCTTAGGCTCGGTTCTTCCGAGCCTCGAGCGGGGCCAGCTCGGAATTTTTTCGAGTCGAGCCACGGTCGATCCGAACCGATAAGCTAAATTGTCGTCCCTGATCTTAATCATATATTTCATGAAATTTGCAACGTTTTTCATCAACTTTTATCAAAATTTATTAAAAATATAAGTTTTTTATTTATTACGAAGAGGGACTATATCTAGATCATATTTTGAAAATAAGACACTAATTTCAGTTTCAACCATTACAAATTTACTTTATTTAAAAAATAAATAAATAATCTTATTTACTTGTAAAGAAAACTTAGAAAAGGGCAAAGCAAGCAAGCAAAGTTAATGGTCGAGGCATATGCTTAGAAGATCCTCTCTCCACCAACTCAATTCTCCCACATCTTTTATTGAAGTTAATCATTCACCAATCAACCAGAGTATTCTCTTAATGTCTTTATGGGTCATTCCTCCATTAATTCTCCATCAAATGAATTCAGATACTTCTTCAAAAGGAGCAGCAGCAACGGGAAGGAAGAAAATGGAGGATGATCCAGTTCTTGATCAAATCGGGTCATTGAATTGCTGACCCGATTCGTTCATTCAATTGGGCAACTGAAGATCCTTTGGCAATGCATCAGCACTCAGATGCTGAGCTTCAAGCTTCTTTTATTTTTGTAGGAAGGATTTATTTTTATGTTTTTCTTCATTAGAAATCATACTTTTATAATGTATTCATCTCGGAAAATTGAAATCTTGGATAATCGAAATTAATTTCTTCATGCTACTGTAATTTTGTTGCTTTAGTTTTCTGGTAATATGGCAACATCTAGTTTAATTTCTTCAAGCTGTGATTTTAATACATACTCGAGAATTCCGTCTAGCTGCTAACGAAATTTTACTTGTAAAAGGATTTTTTTTAATAAGTGATTTTTTATTAGTAAATAGTTTATTTAGTTATAAATTATTTTTAAACTTATAAAAGAAATTTTTAATGCTTATTTACTTATAAATAAATTCTTATATTCTAATCAAACTTATTTTTTCTTCATTCATAAAATTGTGAATAAACTATACAGTCTAAATAAGGAATAGGTAAGATTAAAATAATCTTCATAGGTTTTAATACAATGCAGCAAACACACACTTAAAATAACTGCAAGAACATCTATCCGACTTGTTAATCCAAACAAATGCCACTTTTCCAGGATAAACGTCGAAAATTTATATTTTTCACTTCTCAGCTTTTAAGTAATTTAAGAAAATGCAGTTGGCGCTAGCTGCTATGTTTTAAAGGCTTGGAATTGCTTTGAAATTAAAAATGTGTCAAAAAAAAAAAAAAAAAATTACACCATGACAACTAGGAAAGTAAAGCATGTTTCATGAAAAAGGCTAAAGCAACTGAAATAAAATTTCCCAAATATCAACATAATTCCCATATGTAACCTTCAATCACTGAAAGTTAAACTTCTTTGGACCTGAAATCCACGTCTTCACTCTCTATGCGCATATTGGAGACGAATATTTCTACCATCTAGCAACTACAGAAATCACAACATGGATAAGTTGATAAACTTAAATGTTTGATTATAAGTATAAAGGTAACTTTTTTTCTATTAAAAAAAGTAACATATACGAACATAGTCAGTCACAATCAGATAAGTAAATGATGTCTATCAAATTACTTGGGAATACCTGGCCATCCATTTCCTTCAAGGCTTTGCTTGCTGCAGTATCCTCGGCATAACGTACAAATCCATATCCTTTTGATTTGCCACTTACATGGTCACATATAACGTTTACTGCCAAATACATCACATTACTTTCTTGATAAATAATATCACATTTCTAAAATGCAATATAAAAGTCCAATACCTACCTTGAATTACCTCGCCATACTTCTCGAAAGCTTTCTTTAGAACAGGTTCATTGGTATCATAAGAAAGTCCTGAAATTTGTTGCAGATTTATACAATGAAATGCCTACGTTAAAACATTTTCAGAATTGAAAACAGTTGAATAATGGTTTTCATTTTTTCCACAGGCCAAGCCTTTGCTTTTGGGCGTAGGCAGCGCTCTACCATCTATCCCATTGCATTACATCGTTGGATGTTTGAAACGTCCCTTTTGCAGAACTTTTGCTTTCTTCATGTAAAAGAGCTTTCTGAAGCAATTACTTTTGACTAATTCTAAAAGTTATTCTAGTCCAAACAAATCGCTTTAAGAAAATTACACAAAGATGTTCAAAATTTGTACCAAACGAATACTAAGAAATGAGGGAGTTTCAGGCAAAGAGCTTGTTTCTTTTAAGTGGGGCATTTTATCAAACAGATAAGAGAAGCAAACATAAAGAAATAACTCCGCACGATTTTTCATCCAAACGCTTTAAAGATTTAAAACACTAGTTCTTACACAAACTCATACAAATGTGTTTGTGTCTGCCATTCGACATAGAGAAAGAAAGAGACCTCCGACAAACAATTTCGTGGAAGAATGGCGCAACACAAGCCACCTGTAGAGAGGAAATGCAGAGGAGATGCGACGACTACTCGGGAAATACATCTGCATCAATAGTTGCATAGCACAAAAATATTATAATGCACAAATTTGTATATAATCCTCAATTGAAGACTGAGTGGTTTACTAATAACGCAGGACCACCAAACCTTGAATTGTGATCATCCTGTATGGCTGAAACTTACCGTCGAAAACTGATAATTGTGCGAAGAATAGCAACGTTGGATTTTTCCAGTGATTTGGAATAGAAACGTTATTTGTTTTGTAATATTACTTCACCCAACTGCCATTCACGTCGAATGGCACACATGGGGCAAGGCAAAGCAGAATTCACACCTCACTTTCATAGTCGTACTGTCCTTTTTATTTAATTGGCTGACACGTGACCTACCTCCTAAGCAAAGAATAAAAAAAACAGCAATCAAACTAAAATATGTACATCATTAAATTAACCAAAAGAAACACGAGAAAAATTCAAAAACCAAAACAAGGGGTTTCAATTTTAATTCATGGATTCAAAGAAATAGGGCTACAAATTACAACCTTATCTTTTCTCTACAACCCATTTTTTCTAGAAACTCGTTCTAAGGCTAAGCTAGCTACATGGTAAAATATTTTATCAAGTGAATTCATATTGAACTAAGCAGCAGCCTTCTTGGGGGACTNAAATCAAAACAAAAACCTAGATTACAAAATATTGGTTGAAATGATTTTTAAAACACAAAAACATAGATCTGAACAAGAAACGTCACCTCAGCAGCAAGATATTCAAGAACTGCGGCCATGTAAACCGGAGCTCCAGTACCGACCCTCTGAGCATAGCGACCCTTTTTCAAGTAACGTCCAATTCTACCGACCGGAAACTGTAGACCGGCTTTGACGGAACGGGACACAGGCTTCTTCTTTGGGCCGCCGCCCTTCCTTCCTCCAGCACCCTTCTTCACTTTTGTTGCAGCGGACTCCATGAAATTAGGTTAAAATTCAACAATTAAGAATATTTAAAAATTAATTTGGGGGTAAAAATGGGAATCGACGCAGGGATCAGGTGTTCAATCAAAGATGGCGAATGGACAGACGAAGTTTGGTTATATATAGTAGTACTGATATATTGTGCTGCCGCTGGATTTTGGGTTGAAAGGATGGAGTGATGAGTACCGTTGGATTTTAAAGTAATCGATGGCGTAGGATTGTTTGGTCTTAATCCGCGTAACTGAATTGGACCAATGGAAACCGATTTAAGAGTGAATATTTTTGCGCCCAAAATTTTATTTTTTTGAAAATTGCATCTGGTTCTCTTTCCCCGCCCGAAATTTCACGTTGGCCTTTTGAAATGTTTCCAAACAATTTTCGTTGTTTGGGTTTTCTATCGTAGCTTGGTTTATACGTAAAACTTGAAGTGCAATTATATACATGCAATAAACGGAAAGACGACCTCGACAAGGGTTAATTAACTATTATATTGATTTATTTGATAATAAGTTTTAACGGTATTTATTGATATTTCAATTAGGGGCAATTAATTTCTTGCAACTACCATCTATGCTAGATAGTAACTAGGTGGGAAATCCCTAATTAATAGGGGGCCAGTCAGGCAGAGGTGAAGCTAAGAGATTTTAAGCAGATTATTTATAGGAAATAAAGCGCAAATGATCAATAAAAAGCCAAGAGACAATGGAATTTAAAAAGCACTAAAAGCATCACATCCCGCTAACGGAATGGGGTTCTCACTTTGAACCTGGGCCTATTGCAATTTCTAAATTTATTATCTATGTGACATCCTTTTATGGTATCATTTTCCTTTATAATATTGATTTTTATGCATGACCATCCACATTAAGAGCAATATTGTATCATGACATAATCATAGTGATCGCTAGAATTATAAGAAATTCTAACCAGCTAATTTATACTTTAAACTCTTAGACCAAATAGTTTATTTATTCTCTTCAACATGCTTATCACGTGTACAATAAATTCATTTTTACATTAAAGACCTATGCACAATATTCATAAATGAACAGCAATAAGAAGATCTCAATACTTTTGCCTAATCCCATATGAAATTAAACATAAATGACTGCATAAAATATGCCCAAACAGATGAATTTTGATAAATAACTTTGATTCATGATAATATTCATAAAGAACCTCAACAAACATGGAAATATGATTGACCATCGTTTAACCGATCGAAATAAAGAAAATAGATTCACATTATTCTCATTAAGAATAAAACTTTAGCCCTTGTTTGACAATCATTATTTGGGTAAAATAAATTTTGAATAGTGATGTTTTAGATAATTGTGTGGTTAAAAAGTAAAAAAGAAGTTTTGATTTTATATGCAGAATATTTTATTATGTAAACGTGTGATTGAAAATAAATATGTAGAAAAAAGATTTTTGAAATAATGATTGTCAAATTAAGACTTAATTTGATGTTGATCACAATCGTGGACATTTACAAACCCACACCTCAAATTCTTGGCTCAAAAACTAACATTATAGTTGCAAGATCTTCACAAACTAGACATTCATACTAAGCAAATTTAAACAGATTCTTTGTAACCACAATTGACCAACTGGCCGATTCATGCCAACCTTGGGCACAATACCTAATCTCACGAAAAAGAGCTTAGTTTTGACTTTTGAGCTATTCTGAAATTGACCAGACCAGTCTTATAACCAAAATCGACCCAACTCTAATCTATTCGATTTGGGGAGGGTCACCAATTTTTTCTTCTTTTTTTTTTTTTTGGTCAATTTCAATACTAAATTTATCTGTGGCTGAATGATGAGAGAAAAAAAATTGGATCAAAAGAAAATGTCATTTTGGAGTTTTATCAACAATTTGCTTGTGTAGGTGGGAATCTGGTATTTTTTGAATCCTTATGTAAATCTAACCTTAATTAACTAAAGTAGAAAATATTAAATAAGGAATTTACGATAAAATAATATTTGCCACTCATGTACTAAACTTTTCTCTGACTTCCAAATCTAACCTTAATTGGCTAAAGTAAAAAATATTAATATTGTTATAAAACTATAAGATAAAAATTGATGATTGTTTAGTATTATCATGATACATTGATAAGTCTTATTTAATATAAAATATATATTTCTTTTCAATTGTAAATCTCATTTTGTCCCTTTTGCAAATCAATTGGCTTTGGTTCAATCCAATTTTCCTTTTAAATGTGATGGAAGTTGGAAGAATCAAAAGATTGTTAAAAAAAATCATTGATTAACATCATAATACCCAAAATTTCCTCGAAAACCACTCTTTTAGTTCAATCTCTAACTCTAACAAAGATTGAATAAATCAATGTGAGTATAAATCCCACCCCGATCAAATTCGAAAATACAATATGGACACGTCATACTACTTGTAACAACAATGTTGACCTTTTATGTAGAATTCTAAGTCTTAATAAACAAATCTCTTCAAACTTCAAAAACTTGGATTTATACATCTAATTTAAAAATAATGAGAGAAAAGAATTGACTGTATACAAAGATCCACACATAAGTTAATAGACTGTGCCCCTTATTTGAAGAACAAGGCATGGGAGAAGAGCTTTTCGCCAACAAGGTCTCCATTGATTTTGGGGGACACCAAGGAGGACAGAGAGGTATTTGCCATAGGTTACCTTTTCCATGCCGAGACATTATAATAAGATCCATTAGGAGCTCTAGTTCATAAAATATGCTAGAAATTGAGAATTGAAAGCAATAGAAAAGTAAATACAAGAGAAAGTAGGTATTGAGAACCGATCTCTCTGATCCAATTCAGTTCTAATATGTTTCCAAATACTTTATACATCCTTACTTTTATAACTTTAATATTAACTATCCTATCCTCCAAAACCTCACAACCACCTCATCTCCAAAAGTATATATATTGTTGATATTACAAAACTTTGCTTTCAGGAATCCTGAAGATAAAATTAAAGGGCGAGATTGGAAACTCGCGTTAGTTAAAATCCAATATATGGCATCTTCATCACTATTCTTTCTTTTTTCTTACCTTCAGTAGTTGTAGAACGATTGCTTTTCTTGGGACTATTTGCAGAATCCTCAAATACCTTCGCATCTGGTGAATTTGGTGCTAAATGCTATAGACCTAAATAATCACATATATTTTAATTAATTAGTCCGTCATCATTTATACATATATACCGCCTAAGTGTAAGTGAAATTCATGTGTGTACTTAGCAGATTGCTATATTAGTCGGTGCATGACATTGAGTCAGGAGACCTAATGCAAGTGTTGCATTAATTTTGAGGCCGAGGCTCAAGTCATTTCTATCCTTAACCAAGATGCATATGCATTTAGGGCTTGTAAAATTAGAAATGCAGAGAATGTTGAATACTGATTCACCTTACAATTTACATTGCTTAAGCATTAGGAAATATATATTACAAAGGACTGTACAAAGAATATTCTAGAGTGTACAACCGTAAGTTATGGAGTATGTTAGGAATCTATTTATAACATAAATTAGTGGCAATATTCTAATGAAACAAAAGGTAAGAAGACAAGGATGAGCAGCTGGTGATTGTGAGATTAGTTGTTAATTGAGTTGGAGGCTAATGTGTATGTTAATTTTTGACACCCCCCTTTAAGTTGGACGGTACTGAAGTAACTCCAAGCTTGTCCTGTAAGAAAAGAAATCTTGAGTGAGTGAGACCTTTAGTCAATAAGTTTGCAATTTGATCAAAAGGAGGCACATATCACTTCCAGTTCCTTTCCAATAAAATTATCTATGATCAAATGAATGTCCAATTCAATGTGCTTTGTTTTTGGAATGGTATACCAGATTTGCTGCTAAAGCACCTGCACCCATATTATCACACCATAATATTGGAGTTGACACTTGTGGTAGTTCAAGTTCTTTGAATACGACTGAATCCAAGCAATTTCTAAAGCTGTTGATGCAAGAGCTCTGTACTCGATCTGGAAACTACATGTTTCTTTGATGACTATTGGGTTATCTGCTAAATAAATGAAATAGCCTGTTGTTGATCCCTTGTCATCTATGCAAGAGGCCCAACCTACATCTAAGTATCTAATCAGGTTTAATCTGTCACTTCTTTGTATCCATAGTCCTTGATTCATTGTTTCTTTAAGGTATCTCAACACCATCTTCAATGCCTGGCAATGTGTGGATGTTGGTGATTGCAAACATTGGCTTAGCTAAACAAAAGTGATATCAGGCCTAATGTGTGTGAGGTATTGTAGTCCTCCTATTACACTTCTGTAATTTGAGGGATTCTTCAACACTTGTCCATCAATTTTTAACATGGTTTTGCCGACAAGAATTGGAGTAGGACAAGACTTCAAATTTCATAAGCAGCTTAATAATGTATCTTGTTTAAGTAAGGTGAAGTCCTGAATCATGCCACACTACTTCAACTCCAAGGAAGTGATGAAGTTGTCCCATATCTTTCAGAGGAAATTTTTTGTTCAATTCATTTATGAATCCTTGTAACAGCTTGACATCATTTCTTGTCACAACAATATCGTTAACATAAATAAGTGCAAAAATAATCTATCTTTCCTTCTTGAAGTAAAATAATGATGTATCTGCTATTGATTGTTTGAACTTTTAGCTTAATAGAGTTGTTTTCAACTTATCATACCAGGAAAATCC